CACACACACACACATACACACGCTTCCTCTCCCCTGAATTATATCTCCCCTATGTTGTTCGTTAAGTGGCGTGAGAGCAACGAAGCAACGTGTCTGTAACAAACATCCCAACCGGGATGTACCCTGAGAGCGTGAGCTCAGCACTGGAAGAGGAGGAAGAGGAGGAGGAAGACACCGTCAGGAGGACTGAGTGCAGTGCTGAAATCCAAATCACGGCAGACCCTCTTGCCGAACAGCGGGGGCTTTCGACAACGGAACGGGTACATTTGCTGTTGCAACAGCTTCAAAGGACGGGTAGGTACAGCACAGATTCCCAGCTTGCGGGCGTATTGCTGCAGCCACCATGTGTGATCGCTCAGCAGACTGATGCGTCCCTCGAGGACGTGGACGCGCTCTACCGGTACATCGGCACCGCTATAGTGAACCGCACCAACCTCCCACTTGCACCTATTACAGTAGCAGACTTCCTCACCCACCACTGTCGGCCCTTTATTCCGACCGGGCACGAGTGCTTGGACAGCGCCCTGATGGGTGGCATTGGGTGTGGGCTGGTGACAGAAATTACAGGCGCCACCGGCGCTGGCAAAACGGCGTTTGCGCTGCACCTCGCGCTGCATGCCGCGAGCTACACGGCAGCTGACCCCAGGAAGGCTCGCACGCTGTGGATCACCACTGATGCGGCGGCCTTTCCAGCCGCGGCCGCAGTGGAGCGGGTGCTGCAGCAGCACCTCGAGGCGCAGAGCAAAAACGGCAGCAGCGAGGAGGCGGAGGATGCCCTGCGCGACGTGACAGTGGCACTGCACGCAACACTCGCGCAGCTGCGGGCCTGGCTGCCGGCGCTGCGGCGGCACCTCGCACAGTGCGTGAACGTGCGGCTTGTGGTGCTGGACAGCTTCTCCACGCTGGTGCGCCGCAGCTTCCCCGGCGTGGAGGAAGAGGTCGCGGAGCGCCACGAGGCGGTGGCGGAGCTTCTGGGAATTCTGAAGGAAATTGCGCAGGAGTACTGCGTCGCGGTTGTTGTCACGACCCTGTCCGGGAGCGAGCTTGGCCATTCCTTCCTGCACGCTGTGAACACTCGACTGCGGCTAACGCAATGTGTGCTGGAGCGGAAGGGTGTCGTGGAGGCGAAGGAGGGGACCGTGCGTGTAGTGACGCACATGGTGGAGCTGGTGAAAAGCTCTGTCGCCGCAGCGAGTCGCTTCGAGTGCGAGTTCGACGGACTTCTATTGCGGCACGTGCGGCTGCTCGATGACGGTACGGTGGTGATGCTGGAGGACGCCGCGCTGTGCAGCGTGGACCCCGCCGGCCACGTCATTGTGCCGACATTTGTGTACTGTTGAGACATACACGCACACACACACACACAGAGAGAGAGAGAGAGAGCATACAAGAGAGACCTTGACAGATGGTGTCAACGTGCAAGAGGAGAAGTATTGACGGAGTTAATGTTGCTGCTATTATTGCTGCTCTTGCCGGTGCGGCTTATTGCGTCTCCTGTCTTGCGCCCATGTGAACCCCGCATCTTCTCGCAACTTGAATGAAAGATCCAAAATATAAAAAAAGAAGAGACGGAAGGAAACAACAAGAAGACCGATAACTAAGATGAGTTACGACCGCGCAATCACCGTGTTTAGCCCAGATGGGCACCTCTTTCAGGTCGAATATGCACAGGAAGCGGTCCGGAAGGGTCTCTGTGCCGTGGGCGTGCGTGGGAAGGATAGCATTATCTTCGCCGTCGAGAAGAAGTCGGTGCAGAAGCTGCAGGACAGCCGCACCATTCGCAAGATTTACAAACTCGACGAGCACATATACCTCGCCTTTGCCGGCCTCTCCGCCGACGCCCGTGTGCTCGTCAACCACGCGCAGCTGGAGTGCCAGCGCTTCCGCCTCAACTACGAGGATGCCGTCGACGTGGACCTCCTTGTGCGGTACGTCGCGAAGGTGCAGCAGCGGTCGACGCAGTCGAGCGGAAGCCGCCCGTACGGCGTCGCGACGATTATCGGTGGCTTCAACGAAAACGGGCAGCCGCAGCTGTGGAAGACGGATCCGTCCGGCATGAGCTCTGCCTGGCGCGCCGTCGCTATTGGCCGAAACGACAAGACGGTGATGGAATTTATGGAGAAAAGCCACCAGGACGGCATGTCGCGCGATCAGTGCGTGCACTTCGCCATCAAGGCGCTGCTGGAGGCTGTGGAGAGCGGCTCGAAGAACATTGAGCTTGTCGTGCTGGAGAGCGAGAAGGCGTCGTACATGAGCNGGAGGCTGTGGAGAGCGGCTCGAAGAACATTGAGCTTGTCGTGCTGGAGAGCGAGAAGGCGTCGTACATGAGCGACGCAGAGCTGCACAAGTTCGTCGTCGAGGTGGAGAAGGAACGCGAGGAGGAGGCGGCGCGGAAGAAGCGCCTCGCCGAGGAAGAGTGAGGAAGGAAGGAAAACAGTGAAGTGGAAAGGATGGGACAAGTGTAGAAATAGCGGGAGTGACCGTCTGTCTTCCACCGCACGACTGAGAGAAGAGTAAAATAGGACAGATTGTATCATTGTATATATATATATATATATATA